AATCGTGCAAAAAAATTAAGTACTAACCCGATTTCTTTTTCGGCTGGAAATTGCAGCTTTGTGCTTAGAATGACAAAATTCCACAGTGAAAATGTTAAAGCCTGGGAGGTGGTGGAAACACAGAAAGAAGAGCCACTGCATTCAGATTTGAAATATGCCATCTTGTAGCCCTAGGAGGGTTCAGCCTGTATTAGTGAACAATGAGTGCTGTCTGCCATAGACAGAAACAAAAGAAAAGAGTTTGTTCCTCTCTGTTATCATAGTTAATGGAGCAGCTCCAGGCTGTACAGCGATGTGACAATGCAGATTAGAGTTTAGAACACTCTAGTTTTGAAGCTTTGGAAGAAACTTTTTCCAAAACCCCACAAGAACTTTCCAGGGCCAAAAGAATATTCACATAAATCCTCAAAATGAGTCTTATTTCCATTTAAAAAAGCTCCTGCAAGGGAGTTAAAAATGACTCTTTATAGTGTATAGTGGTGTGCAAAGAAACAGTGCATGCAGAGAGTGAGGAAACCCTTGACAAGATTTTACAACTCCTGTGACATTCATCAGTGTAGCCTGAGCTGGGCTTTGCTGTTGACATCCCTTACTGACACCATGACATGTGTTACAGCCTTGACAGCAAACGTTGTTCGCTCCCACCTATCCTCTGCATGGGGCCGGGGATCTCTAGCATACATGTAAAAGCCACAGCAGGAACACTGAAGAGACCAAAATATGTGGACGATAGACATGTTTTCTATATGTTTTCTCCCAACATAACATTTAACATTTGTTCACAGAAGAACACAGAAACTTAGTGTGTGTGAAAACTGAAATGTATCTCGGAAACTCTTGTTATGACTCTGTGTTCTTTGGCAAATGTAGGGATAAAGGTGTTCAGATGAATGCCAGTTGTTGTTGCTGGTATCATGCATAGTATCATATTCTGGGAAAGGTTTATTAACACAGATGATTCCTGGCAGGAAGTTAAGAGTCATTAACAGTCAGGTTGTTATTTGCAAGTCTGGTAAAAGTTTGTGTT